TCCTACTCTCATCCACATCATCTACGCCTCCGCGCAAGTTGGTCACGCCCCACCCACGAGCTATATCCAACTTCCGTCGCCGACCTTTACCCCCTCCCCAAAGAAAAATCGAGTAGGCTAGACAATGCCCCGAAGATCGGGATCCAAGCGGCGGCGTGCGGCCAACAGCGTCCAGTCCGCGGCTCAAGAAGTCCTGTAGGTTTTGGACGGAACCTGTCGCTTCAAGATACAAATACCAAAATATCGGGGGTTCTAGCAATGCTGACCCGGTACTTGGCAGCCAAGAGGATTATGATAAGGCCAAGGTCCTGGTCTCCGACGCCGCGAAGAGCCGGGCGTACCTGTACCCGATCAAAGGCTTTGTCTATTTCGTGAGGCGCCCGGCACTATGGAAACCCCTGGCTGCACAGCTAGCGCCGTATTTCGTCCTCTCCATCGCCGTCGTCGTCGCCATGTTCTTCTTCGCCTATCTACCTCAACTAGCCATCCTCATCTTTGTCAATGGACCGCTCGCCGTCTTTACAACCGTAATTCTCGTCCTCAACGAAAGCGCCGCCATCGTCAGTATGCTGTCCAGGACATTACTCCTCCGCGAAGCGCTCCTTGATACATTTGATGGCACCTTGGTTTCTAGGAATGTCGCGGGTGGTCTTGTAGAGGAGGGCCGTGAGCTGCATGCTGGAGGCTCTGCCATGGAGCGCCTCGGAAAGATACTCAAGAGTCCCCTCGAGAAGTTCAGTCTCAAGGGGATTATCCGCTATATCTTGTACCTCCCTTTGAACTTCATCCCGATCGTTGGCACTTTTATATTCCTCCTCGTCCAAGGTATTTTCCCCACACCCCCAGTTCTCATGCTTACATCAAACATAGACTGGGACGGACCAGGGCTAACAGTGGATATTCTCCTGAAGGTCGGAGCCGGGGTAAGACGGCTCATTTGCGTGTAAGTAACTGATCCCGGGCAAAGGCCTACCACCTATCTAACAGCGAGGCTCCCCAGTACTTCCAACTCAAGAAATGGCCCGAATCCCGGCAAACAGATTGGCTCAAAATCCATGTCGCGCCCTATACGGCGTAGGTGTCCTTATATTGTTCTCTTCTCCCAGTGGTCGTTGTTACTTACACATACAGGTTTGGACTTGTCGCTACTTTACTCGAAATGATCCCCTTCATTTCCATCCTCTTTACATTCACCAATACCGGTGAGTCCCTTCTCTCCTAATTCTAAATAAGAGTCTTTGGCATGCTGACACTATACTCACTCTGCAGTCGGCGCTGCGCTTTGGGCGGCCGATATTGAGGCCAACGAATCATCCATGGCAATGGATCCTCTCCCTCGCTCCACGAACGGCGGACCGACCTCCCCGGAGCCAAAGGATGAAATAGTTGTTAGCTAGTGGCGAGGGAGATCGGTAGGGAACGGTCAACTGGTATCAAAACAGAGGTTATTCCTCCGTGACGCTATCCTTGGGAAAGAAAGGTCTCGCTTCACTTCGCCATGTCTCATCATGTGCAGGGCAGACTCATTCCCATCCCCTGGCTCTTTTGCGGTCATTTCCGAGGCAGGCCGCGAATTCAATGTAAAGTCACTTCACGCGGAGCCTCCAGCCCATGTTACATATTCACCCCAGCTTTATGTCAGTCCATATCCAGGAACATGCTGCCATATGAGAAAGGGGCTGGTTCACGTCAGGTCCAATATTGTATGGGGTATGCAGCTGTATATCGATTCAGTAATGATAACGGCACTTGAGTTCTCCCTTCCCCCACGCCCGCCCTTCCAGACCTATATTCCCCCAGCAAACTCACTGAAAGAGATGAAATCCTCACACCAGGACACCCAATCACCTTCGCTTCCTCTACCTGCAGCTCATCCCTCAACACGCCCGCGATCGATGTCCGCGATGAAGTCGCCCCCACGAACCCCGAACTCTCCGTTCAGCCCCGGCAGCCCCATCCGGACACTATGACGTGAGTGCGCTGGTAGGAGCGCTCCGCTCTACCAGTCCAGTGAGCCGCCGGTGGAGAGGCAGTAGTGGGAGGGGGGTGTAGTGTAAGTCGGCAGAAGGGGGCGCGTGCTGGTTACCATGGAGAGAAGAAGCGGAGAGGGGATTAGGCAAACGACGCGGAGGGGGGTTGGATACCTGGGATTCGTTGGTACTTGCACTATGTCGAACTTCTCGAGTTTCCCCCTCTGGCAAGATGGATAGGAACCACATACATGGCATTTTCTTTTGTCTAAGGGCGTGGATGCTAAAACTGGGCTACAAGGAAACGAGAGCAGGCTCATAAAGTTGCATACAGAAGAAGGCTTGGTTATTTTTTTCTTGGATAAACAATTAAAAAAAAAATCATTGATTGCTCTCGTCTTATGGCTCTACGTCTGTAAACGATACTAAAAACAGGATGCTGTTCCCTCCGCTCTCTCCCTCCAACGAGAAACATTCAATCCGAAACAACCAAAGGCATATAATCCTCCCAGTATACCAATACTTCCTCCTCCCATTCCCTGCGTGCTGTATAACCGAGCGGGTATCACCAAAACTCCGAGTAACCCAAAAGAAGAAGAAGAAAAGAGAAACCCAGGAACACGCTCACGACGAAACAACTTAGGCCGGCCGGCTATTCCACCTCCACCCATTCCAACAGTCTATCCTCTTCACATTCCACTCCTCGTCGCTAATGTCCCCCCTCTCGATGAACGTCGGGGACATGCAGCTCGCAACATCGGTCACCCAGTCGGGGTACAGCGCCCGTATGGCGGCCCCATACCAATGCTTCCTCGCCTCCTGGCCCTGGAACACGAGCTGGTACGCCGCCCCCAGGTTGTCGAGCCTCAACGCCTGGATGTCCCGGTAGGATTGGAGCCCCGTGACCCTCTCCTCCGAGAACCCGCACACCGGCGCCTCGAAAACGGGCCTCTCGGTGTAAGGTCGTAGGCGCGGGGGGACCGTGCCCCCTTGGAATTCCTTGACCTTGCGGTTTCGGGAGAACCAGACCAGCCTGGACCAGTCGCCCCAGGAGATGGGGTCCCTCCGGGCCTGGTCTATGATCTCGGTGGGGATGGGCACGTGGATTATCGCCGCTTCCTTTGAGCGGCATCTCGTGGCGATGTAGGACGCCATCTCGGCCGCGAGGGACTTGTCTTTTAGGAGGTGGATATAGTGCTGCGCCGTGGGGTGCAGTTCGGAGCCGGACGAGATGAATCCGGGGAGAGTATCGTTGAACATACCAAAGATGTTGCCGACAGTGTGAGACGGGAGCGGGAGGAAGTACACCTTCGCGTGAGCCGTGTCCTCGGGGCCGCGGCTCACCTCGGAGACCAGCCGTCGCTCGTCGCGGACGTCCATAAGGCTCGCAAGGTAGGTCTTCCGCGCGCGGATCCTCCGGTTCAGCTCGAGGAGGAAGTCGTGGTTCGTCTCGATGGTGTCCTTCGCCCAGTGGAAAGGGTCCCCCAGCTCCCTGATCCTCGTGTAGCGCGGGTCCATGATAGCGCTCGCCACATCCGCCGCTAGGCCGAGTTCATGGAGCGCTCCCTCCCAGTCGCCGGCCCTGCTGAGCACCTCGTACCTGGGCGTCCGCATCAACTGAAGTGCGAGGTCCACGATGCACTCGTCCGCCGCGGTGCCCGACAGCCAGCCATCCTCCTCGCCAGTACCCACCTTCTTCCACTCGGCATAGAACCTCTCCGCGACCTCGGGCCGGAGTCCGCAGAACTGGAGGTGCTGAGGCGAGTTCCACTCCGTCGGGATGTCTAGGACGTCATACCCGTGGTCGATGTTGGTGTACGCCAGGGAAGGTATGCGCGTGAAGCCTTTTATCGAGCGGGAAGGATGGAGCTGAAGTCGGCGGAGTTGACGGAGGACCCTGCTCTCGAGGGTGTGAGATGGGTTCTCGAGGGGTAAGGCCGGATAACCCGATACCCTCTCGACGGGAGTGATCCGTGGTGCGGGCAGGATTTGCATAGTGAGCAGACCGTGGTGGTCTGGGTGTATAAAGCTGTGTAAGAGGAAAAGGTCCGTATAAGCCGTTCGGGGTAGAGATCCGAATTTAGGTAATGCGAGGGGGGTTGCTTTTCTAGGAGTAGTAGGTTCTTTGCCCGTTCTGTCTCTCGCTGTCTCGGATATCAAATCTCCGCGACAAAGGGGAGATAAAGAAAGTCTTCCCTGAAGAAATTATTCTGCGGGAAGAGGGAGGGTGGGAGGCAGGTCCGAGGGTAAGAAACCGTGTCCAAAGAGAATCCGAGGGAGAGTCCTCCTTCTCACGAACAAAGAACGAAGAAGGCGGGAGGAGTAGAGGAAAACAAGCGAGGAACCGTGTCCACCTCGCCTCCCCATGGTTTTCTCCCGTCTCTGGCCTCAGGTCTCTGCACGCGTAGGATACCCGAATATAAGCTCGCTGGAAAAAACTCTCTCTCTTGCGGGGAAAGTAAAAAATTGAGTTGAGAGGCTCTCTTGCTCTCCCCCGCATGAGGTTTCGAGAGAGAAAGAAACCGAGGAGGGGTGACAAAAAAGAGCGCTCCTTACATGGGAACTTTAGTCTTAGCTCCAAATGCGACTTCAACCATGGATCCTGTCTGGCAGGGCAGGTGCAGCTGAAGGACTCCTCCGGTAGCACAAGCAGGCGCTGCCCCCGATTTCCCCGATACCTGTGGGAAGGTCCGCCGGTCGACTTACACGATTTACACGATGCCCAATCCTGCACGTACTTTAATACTTACTCGTACATCGGTTATTGCACCCACAACCCGCGACTTGCCACCGTTCACCCGACAGAAACCATGCATAGCCGCAATAATCCTTGGTGTTTAGGGTTGAATTTAGTTCCCTTAAAATTTTAAGCCTATACCACCTGAGACATATCATTTTCTCACTTCGTATTTTCCGGTAGCGTAGAGCTATTTTTTCCCGGGCGCATATCGTGCAAGTCGATGGAGCCAATGAGATGGGAGAACGAGCCAACGTTTATATGCACAGTCATCAGGACTTTCCATCATCAAATTCTCCATGGCCAAATGGTTAAGGCGTCCGACTGTTAATCGGAAGATTCCAAGTTCGACCCTTGGTGGGGAAGTATTTCAACTGTTTCTTTAACTTTTTGGCCTTCGTCTTTTCTGCCTGCTGTTTTGACTCTCCCCAGCTCAAGAGCAGGAGAAGTCGAGAAATAGGTAAGAAGGGACGAAACTGGTTCACTTTTTTGTTGGTCTCTAGAATGGCAGTTCAGCTTCACACAGTGCACACGATACAATAGTCCTGGAAATAGTTGATTGTAATTGTATTCCAGACGTATATTGGGTGAGCCACCCGATCGTCATAGACGAGAATTGTCACATTCTTCTAGACGTCGTCCCATCATAAACAAGCATGATAAACGCCGTGCTCCTCTACCGCTGTTAATGTAAGCCCCAAAACCACACCCGGAGTGACACTTCAAGCACCGCCCAACAACCGAGTTGGGCGGTCTCTTCCCCGAACGAGGTAGGTCGTCCTGGACGAGTAATCCGGCACCTAGTCAGATCCAAGCTCCTTCCCGATATCCCACTCCCTTTCCTCTCCCGCCTTTGCCCACCTCACATCCGCTTCCGTCTTCTCCCCCCGGGCGTCCTTCCACCTCCCTACATCCTCCTCCGAGAACCCCGCCGACTTCATCCTCTCCTCCTGCGCCAGCCGGAGCTTCTGGCGATCCCTGAATGCCTCGACAGCCTCCGACCAGTCCCCCTTGCCGCCTGGGTCCACATCCGCATCCAAGTCGACGTCCAGCTTGGGGTCGTAGTCGGCCGCGAAGCGCTGGTCGATGCCCGAGAACGCCGATATCGTGCCGCGGCCCTTGGTGCGGATGGGGGACTTCGGAGGCGGGGCCGGGCCGATGAACTCCTCGAGGGGGTCCGAGTCGCTCTCGTGATTGTCGCGGTCTCTCTCCCTCACTGGCTCCGGCGACTTCTTCCGACTGTCGCGGTGGCGATCCGAGTCGCGGTGGGACCTTGAGCTTCTTGGGCGTCTATGTCGTGACGTGGATCGCTCGCGGTGCCTCCTCTCCTCTCTCCGGGACGGTGACCTGGACCGCCTCCGGTGCGTCGACTCCCCCCTGCGCGAGCGGTGGCGGTCCTCGTCGGAGCTCGACCCGTCGCGTCTCCTCCGCTTTCGCCTGTGCGAGGCGTCCTCCTCGCGGCTGTGCCTACCCCGTTCGGTATCCCGCCCGTCCCGCGTTCTATCTGGCTTCCCAGCCCCATCACGGCGCCTCGCGCCTTCCTCCAAGTCGCGCCTCGATCCCTTATGCGACGACGTTTCTTCGGCAGAACGCTTCGGCGCCTTGTTTCCAAGTATAGCGTTGATGCTCCCGATCTGTCGCTTGCGAACATCCCCCGGCTTCGCCGTCCTCCCCCGCCCCCCGCCGCCTAGCTTCTCGAGCCGAGCCCGCGACTCGGCGGCCTCCTTCGCCAGGAGGGCGGCGTTGTGACTGTTCGTATCCTTTATGACGTTTCGCAGGAACCGCGTGTTTGGCTTGGGTAGGTTCGCCGGCCTAATTTTTTTTCCGGCCAGAGCCAAGGTGGTTAGGTCACAGAGCCCCCCAAATTTGAGCTGTGGGTTGTGTAGACGTACTTTTTGTCGGATCGGTATGCGTCCATGCCTATGGTGGAGAACTTGAGGGAGCAGTCCTGGGCGTCCTTGGCGAGGAGGCCTGCGACGTATTCATCGGTGAGGAGTTCGTCGTTGGCCATCTTGGGATACCCGGGGGTGCCCGTGGGAGTTGGTGTTGGAGGGAAGGTATTCAGAAGGACCAAGGGGCAAAGAATTCCTTGCCCATATGGGCCCTGCGTGGCGGCCTCGTGGGGAAGGAAAGGAGGGTCGATTGACCGGAAGGTTCGCGAGTGGTCGGAAACCTAGAAGAGGAAGGTGGTCGCCTGGTGTTCTCTTTTGCTCCGGAGTAGGTTCTAGGGAGGGCCATTCGGTGGCGATAGGAACGTAAACAATGTGGTAGGAAAGAAGAAAGAAGGCTGTTTCCGCGATCCGGGGAGGAATCCAAATCCTTGCGCCGGGAAGGGACACCTCGCCAGTTAATACTCTTATCCCCGTTAGATCTAGTTGTACTTGTACTCGTACCCGTCCAAGTAGGAGTATTACAGGAGAGGCCTCATTCTTCGACGGATTCCCGGCCCCGCGATTGGCTTCGGGGATGGATGTACTTCGAGACTGGCGGCCTTGGCCCTGCCGGCTGCCGGCTGCCGCCTGGTGACACGCATCTGCCGCTTCCGACCGCCCTGTTGTGTTCTCGGACCCTTGATCCATGCAGCTACTCTGTTAGACCGGGTCACCGCCTTTCCATTTTGGGGTGAAAGTAAACACACAAGAGTCTCGACGAGTACGTCGCGGGGCAGAAATCGCGACGACGACATCAACTCTTCTGTCCTTCGCACCACTTGATTCCCCGCTACACAACACCGCCCACGTCCTAGACCGCCTTGAAACCAAGCAGTCACGCCGTTGTCAACACATTCACTTTTGCGCGTCCACCCACCGCCCCAACCTTATCGGGAAATCTAGAAGAAGCGCATTCAGAAACAAGGCACACGGTCCACTAAACCCCACCGTTTCCACTGGCGCAGACCCTCCAAGGGTCCGAACGAGTCCGACGATACACGACAACCTCCCAACCGCCCTCAAGCAATTGCCGCCGCGAAGATGGCATCGTCAACAGACGAAATCCTCGCCGCCCTCTCATCCCTCCAATCGCAACCCCTCTCGATCCTCAAGCTCTCCGAGCCCATCACGACCGTCTCCACGGAACCTCGCCCGCGCTCCTCCGACGCCTCGAGCTCCTCCCTCACCGAGGCCCCGACCCCGTCCTCCCTCGAGGCCGACCTCTCCCACTATCGCGAGCTCTTCTCGAAGCTGCGCTTCAGCTACGTCGAGCAGGTCACCAAGGAGAAGTTCATCCGCGCCATCGTCGGCGAACCGCCCCTCATCGTCAGCCCGCAGGAGAATGTGGCCTTGGAGAAGGAGAACGTCGGCGCCAAGAGGCGCCTCAAGGCCCTGAAGGTCGAGATGGCCGACCTGGTCGCCGAGCTGGAGAGGCGCGGGAGGGACCTCAGCAGGCGCCACGAGGGCATCGAGACGCAGACGATCCAGCTCCGCGAGCTGCCAGAGAAGATCGCGGAGCTGGAGGAGGGGATAGCGGAGCTCAGGAAGCTGCACGAGACGGGGGAGGGGCCGGAGATGTCGCTACCGCTGGGCAGGACGCGGGAGCTCGTCGACGAGCGGAAGGCCGAGCAGGCGAAGCTTGACCGCGAGCTGGAGCAGCTGCGCGCCAAGCTCCCGAGGAAGAAGAAGGAGCTCGAGAGGCTAGGGGCGGAGGTGCAGAGCCTGGAGGCGAAGAGGCAGACCAGCGGTGCCGCGGCGAGGGAGGCGAGGAGGCGGAAGGAGAACGCGTTGGGCGGGGTGGAGGATGACCTCGAGGAGAGGGGGAGGTGGTGGAGGGCTAGTGAGGTCGTGCTCACCCAGGCACTGGATACATAGGGTCAATGGTGATGCCACGCGCCCTTCTTGTTTTGCTACTGTGATGATGATTCCTGCCGTGGGTATGGCGTTGGAAGGAAAGGGAAGGGGCGGTAAGGATTAGGTAATAGGCACGGCGTATAAATTCACACTTCTTTTGCACATTACATCCATGTCCAAATTGTCGCGTTGCGAGTAATGATGTATAATGCGTCTATGTCATCCGGTATGCCCGAAATGCAGAACCGCCAACACTTGATAATGCCAAGAGGAAACGTCCAAATCCAAACATGCCCCTCCCTTATATGCAAATGGATGCCATGCATTCATCGTATTGAGTCCAATTTAAATTCAAACGACCATGAAAAACACCAAGAAAGAAATCAACGAAATAACGCCAGAAACGACGCGAGTTTAAATCAACGCTTGCCAAGCTTCTCAACGAGATTCTTCCTCACCGTCCACATGCGAGCCCTCTTTCCGTAGATGTAGAGTGGGATAGTCGTCAGCATCAGGATCAGCTGGATGATCCCCGTCCAGATGAACACCATCTTCGGCCCGTCGTCGGACATCCAGTGCGTGAAGAACAGACTGAAGATAAGCCCGTGGAAGAAGTTCTTGCTGAAGTTGAGCGTGACGAGCGCCTCTCCCGCATACTGGCGGTAGCTGTCGACGCAGAAGGTGATGGAGGTCGTGGAGCCCAGGGAGCAGCCGAACGAGATGATGCCAAAGAATACGGTAGGCACAATCCAGTGGTCGCCTTTCTCGGCGGACCACCCGAAGCCCATGAGGCCGAGAACGGTAGTAACGAGGATAGGGGCAGCCATCACGAGGCGGAACTCGGGCTCGTAGAGCCCCCCGTTACGCCGGGACATGGCCTTTACGATGATGTCGGAGACTTTACCCGCCACGGCTGTGCCGAGGAGGCCGCCAACGAAGGGAGAGAGGTAGACCAGGCCCGTCTGCAGAGCGTTGAAGTTATAAGAATCGGGGTTCTGATAGATCAGCGCCATAGACTCAGAGATGACAATTAGCCAGCCGACGGAGCAGGAATATACGGCAGCGGACCAGAGGATCCCGGGGTATGCGAATAGGACGAAGGGGCGTAGCATGACCTTGAACCAGTTGTCGCTGCACAGACGCCCGTGGTAAGGTCGGAGTTGCTGGACGAAGGTTCGCGCGGGTTGGTATCTCAGGGCAGTCGTGTAGGTATGTCCGCCCTCAGGCTGATATGGAACTGCCTTCTCCTCGCTGGACTGGGCGGTATATCGCGATGCCGGATCGATCACGACACCGGTGTCGACGGAAGCGGGGGCGGACGTATCCTTCTCCGCGTCTCTCTTCATGGCCGCCAGTTTCTCTTGATCTTGGACGGGGGCTGTAGGCTGTACAGGACCCGCGGCTGCCGGACTAGACTGCTCCGGCACTGGGTGTTCATCTGATCCCGGCTGCTGTTCGTGAGAGTGCCCGGCGCTAAGGTCATCGTCGGTCTGCCCGTCCTCCAGAGCGAAGCCTACACGCGGATGTCTCGGGCCGGGCTCGCTCTTGTCCCCCTTCACCTCGTTCGAGTCACCTGCTCCC